GTGAGTGAAAGTCGAGACATCTCAAAAAGGTTGTGAGTGAGTGTTGAGACGTGTCGAAACAGGAGAATGAATCACCTGGAGTGCGGAGATGTCGAGCCCTAGAGCCGAGGCCATGATGCAGGAGAGGGTGAGTGAGAGCAGCAGCAGCGTCACCGCCACCAGAGGGAACGCCACCTTCTCTGCTGTGGTTAACGGGGGCAGCCACCCCGTGTCCCTGGGGGAGAGGGAGAAAAGGATGGAGGAGTGGTGGAGGGAGAGAGCGGCAAAGAAGAAAGGGGGAAGGGGTGGATTTAGAGTCGACTGAAGATTTACCAGGAAGGGCAGCTTCTCTGTGATGGTCAGCGTGGGCAGGCAGGCAGGCATGGCCAGGCGAGCCTGTGTCCCTGGGAGAGAGGGAGGGGTGGAGGGTAGAGTGGAGGAGTAGCGAGGAAGAGAATGACGAAGGAGGAAGGGGAAAGGGGTGGATGTTTAGTCAACTAGACCGGGAAGGCCAGCTTCTCTGTGATGGGCAGCGTGGGCATGGGCAGCCACCCCGTATTCCTGGGAGAGACGGAGGGGTGGTGGAGGGTGGAATCGAGGAGTAGAGAGGGAGAGAGAACGGCGAAGAAGAAAGGAGAGAAAGAGGAGAAGCTGTGGTGAGAAGGTTTTGAACAAGAAAGGTGTGGAGTAGAGAGCAGCAGGGGTGGTCGCAGGGCAGGGCCAGCCAGGGCTGTTTTTTGAGGCGCCTCAGAAGTTGTTTTTTGAGACGCCTCAAGGGTCGCAGGGCAGGGCCAGCCAGGGCTGTTTGGTCGGCTTCTTGCTGTGGTGTGGGCAGTGGCGGCGGCGGCAGCAGCAGCAGCAGCAGCGAGGCAGCCACTTGGTGTTTTAGGAATAGAAGAGAGGGTAGTGTAGGGGGCACTCATGGTGCAAAGCAAACAGGTGTTTCAAGGCAAATAGGTCTCATATCTTGAGAGCACCGAAGTGAGTAAATGCTTTGCTTGAAACGGGCGGGTGGCAGGGGCAGGATAGGCAGGTTACGAGTACGACAGGCACAGGATAGGGAGATCCAATTGAGGCTAGGGTGGGGGGTGGGTGCAGAAATGAGTTTGGGAAGTCCAGTGCAGGGGCAGAGTCCGAAGCTGCCTGGACGGATGGGGGAGACGGCCAGGCAGGCAGGTCACTGGGGGTTTTGTGGTCCCCATCAGATCAGACACAGGGCAACACCGGGCCGAGATACTTTTGTATGGAAGGTGGGGAGCGGGAGGGAGGGGGGAAGGAGGGAGGGGGAGGGCGGGGTGGAAAGGAGCGGGGAGGGTGGGGGGTTTTGTGAGTGAGAGAGAGGGTAAGGGAGGACTGAGAGTGTGTGAGGGGAAGGCAGAGGAGGTGCACGCACACGGGCATGGAGAATACGCACAGCTGGACCTGGGGTTTGGTAGGAGAGTGGTCTGGGTTGTGGGGCATGGGGGACGAAGGGGGTGTGGGCTTTGGTGGATGGCTGCTGGGGAAGGAAGGAGGGATGGTGGTGGGGAGGGTGGCGTTGGTCACTGGTCAGGGTGGGGAGGGTGGTGGGGGGAATGTTTACGGAGTCTGAATTAAAAAAAGCCTCAAAATCAGACTCCTTTTGAGGCGCCTCAAAATCGGATGGCCGGTGGGGAAGGAGGGAGGGATGGTGGTGGGGAGGGTGGCGTTGGTCACTGGTCAGGGTGGGGAGGGTAGCGTTGGTCACTGGTCAGGGTGGGGAGGGTGGTGAGGGGGATGTATACAAATCAGCACATACAACCTGCCTGCTCCACGATCGCCCACTCCTACACCGTCTCGTCTACTCCCCCTGCAACGCCCACCAGTAGCAGCGAGCACCTGTAGCAGCGCGCACCTGTAGCAGCGCGCACCTGTAGCAGCGCGCCACCTGTAGCAGCGCGCACCTGTAGTGTAGCCGCGCGCACCTGTAGCGGCGCGCACCTGTAGCAGTCGTTGTAGCAGTCCTGCGTGGGCCCCACGCAGCTATTGAGGCACGCGGTGATGCCGCCAGGGGGCGTGCACGCGCCAAGCCGAGCACCTACTCCCAGCACGTCGTTGCACATGCTGCCACTCCCCCTCCTCCCCCCCCTCCGCCTCCTCCCCTTCCTCGGCTTCCTTTAACTCCTCTATATCTCCTTTCCCACGTCTTTCGCTTGTGATACTCCTCTCTCCCTTCCTCTCCACCACCACACCTCTCCAGCAGCAGCAGCAGCAGCCGCAGACTCTGCAATCGCTGCTACAGCTCCTCCTATCGCTGCTGTGGCGACGTGTTGACTCACAACGCACCCTCGCGAGCGCTACCCGCGTCATCTCTCCGCGCGTTCCCTCTTCCCGCTTCTATCGCGGCGCTCCTGTCGCAATTGCCGGCAGAAGGGGCAGCAGAAGCACATGTGGCGGCTGTATCTATGGCGGCTGTAACTGTGACGGCTGTAGCTGGTGCAGCTGGAGCAGCTGTATCAGTGGCGGTATCAGTGGCGGTGGCAGCGCAATCAGCAGCGGCCATGCGTGCGCGTCAACAGCGGGCACGCTGGTTCCGCTGTAGCGTGAAACGCGGAGGCCAGGTGGCGAGGGCGACGGTAGGGAGAGCGAGGGACCCGGGACGGGGGGAAGGGGGGAAGGGGAAAATGGGGAAATGGGGGAACGGAGGGAGGGAGGCAGAGCACCGCGCCTTTTTCTACTCTCGATTACGTTTCCTGACCGCCTCAAAAGAACTACGTGACAAAAATACGGAGGGAGCTGCACTGAAAGCACGCGCAGCGCGCTTATGAAATAACTGCACGAGAAATCGGGGCACGTGATAAATTAATAACCCGCATCGGTACGAGGGCCTATCCTGGTCGAAACTATCGCGACGGCAAGCCTTGCCAGTTAGTGAGCCTATATGTACGTGCGTACCCAGGCCAGACCTAAAGAGGTTATGTGTGAACGAAGCAGAAGGGGTTGGTGGTGTCGGCGGCGCAACATGCCTCGTACCTGATGCGGTTTGGTTTGGTTTGGCTCACCTTGTTCTTTTGTTTTATAGCTTGTAGCCGCCCCAGCGCGCATGCATTTTGCTCTGCAACTGCCTGTGGCTTCCAGCGAACCAGAAAGACTCGCTTCCTTCGATATTGTCGCTCATTGTGGTCGTTCTTGAAATATTGGTGATGTACAGTTATTGTGCGTTCCAGAAAATGCTTAAAATGATGGTTTAGAAACCCCACATTCCGTCTCATTACAACTTCAAATGTACATCATTATACAATGAATGAAAACTACTGTAAACTCAACTTGATGGATTCATCCATATAGTGTGGGTGTCAGCGTACATGTTATCAGTTGTAATGAATAAAAGTGCGCGGGATTCAATAGCGCGGAAGGGATAATGACTGCTAGGCAAATAATGAGACATGTCATTGATATAGCGAAGGCTAACTGGGTCGGGGTCGCGAGACCGCGTATGGTTGGGTCAGGGCTGTTTTTATCAGGGTAATTACCCTGATTTCAGGGTAATTTCAGGCTTTCCACTTTGTGGAGATTGAAATTTCAAAATTAATGAGTTCTTAGGGCGCGTCAGATCCGTTACAAGGTGATTTGGCCGGAATTTGGTCGACAATTTGGTCGACAATATCTTTCGCCAAAGTCGACAACATGGTCGACTTCAATAACGACCAATATCCGGCCACATTTACAGGGCCGAAAAATCTGACACATTTGGTGGCCGATTTGATGGCCGCTTTGCAAATGTGTCAGATTTGCAGTTCGCCAGGGTCGCCGGATTGTGCGACGGAATTGCAGATGCAGTACTTGTGTGACACGTTGCGTCGCACGAGTTGGCGACGTCGCGTAGTGACTGTAGCGATCTCAGGTCGACAAATTGGTCGACTTTCGAGTCGACTGCACGTCGGAACTTTGTCGAATGCTGAAAAGGCCATCAATTTTTTTACAAATGGCCGGATTTGACGAACTCTCCGAAAATCTTTGCGGATGTCGCGAATGTGTTACCTTCGCTAATTCCGGCCGGCCAGATTTTTCCGACAACGGATCTGACGCACCCTTAATCTCAACCCTGATTTATAGATTTCCTATCCCTGATTTTGAGTATAGTGTAACAGACCAGCCTGTTAGTGGACCCTGACTTAACAGATTGTCGACTCTGTGCAGGCCCTCAGATTCTTTTTTTGCCTGTCTGATTCATCAGACTAGTACAAAATTTTAGTCTGAAACCCTCAGAGTCGGTATATATATAAAAAAAAGCTGAAATTTCAGAGTGCCTTAGAAAAAAAGTCTGAAACATCAATGTATCTAATGTTTCATCAGAAATGTATTCAATGTTTCGTCTGATATCGAAACTGTGAAGATAAGCAGTAGAAGAAGGCGCCATAGCTAGGAAAGCCCTAGCTAGGCAAGAAACAGTTTAGGCAAAGAAGAAGGAGTTGCACTAGCAAGAATGAGGATACAAATAGCAAACCCTAGAAGGGTTGTACTCGCTATAGAGCACCCCACTACAGGCTAGAGCATAATATTCTGACAGAAACATGCTAGACTAGGGGGATTTTCGGGAGAACATGCTCTGACAGGGCGAATTTATGAGTCACGGAGAATCTTGTGGTGTGAAAGGGCGAATCTGCAATCTTAGGTGAAATTTCAAGGTGATTGGTCGAAATTTTTGTGCTCTGACGGCGCAAATCTGTTGTGTCAGGGCGATTTTGCTGTGATTGGGTGAAGATTCTGTGCTGTAAGGCGCAGATTTGTTGTTTCAAGCCGATTTTGCGTTGACTTTGCGAATCTGCTGTGACCTGTGAAGTCCGAACCGAATTACCAGTCAAGAACGCAAGCAGAAAACGGAATCGGTACGCGTTTGTACTCTCAGTGATCAGAGTACACTCCCGGAAAACTCTGAAACGTCAGAGTTAGCTTTAGAATTTCTCTGAAAATTACAGAGTTGGGGCCCTAAAATCTCTGATTTTAACAGAGCTCACTTGAAAAAAAAAAACTGAATTCTCAGAGTTTTTCATGCAAATCAGACAAATTTATCTGACTTCTGGGGACCAGACTCTGTGTTTCCTGGATTTGACCTTATCGAAAGGAAGTTTCTCCAGAATTTTCTTCCGATAACCCCGCCTTCGGATTGATCGCAGTACAGCCAGCGAGTGAGCGACCCCGAATGAGACATTATCGTGACGAAGTTTCTTCGAAATTTCCTTCCGACACACTCACCATCGAGATCGTACTGCGAGTTTCCAGAAAACTTTGTACGAATACCCCCATGTTCGTAGCTCCCCGTTTTATCGGGAAGAAGTTTCTTCGAACTTTCATTTCGATACACCCACCATCGAGGTTCAGTTTCGATAATGCACAGTGCGTTATTACTTTGATCCTGACTTCTCGACAATGAACAATCAGACTATAAAACTTTCCAACAGTGAGCAAGCATGGTGCTGTTTTTTTGGAACATATGCCTTCAGGGCAGGGCTCTCGTTATCAGACCAAATTGGTCTGATGGTCTGATTTTCAGACGTAGATTTTCGCTTTCATCTGATGTCTAAGACGATGCTTTTTATTTCGTCTGATCCGTAAGATGACTGATTTTAGTTCGTCTGATATTTCAGAGCAAGCTCTATAGTTAGTCTGAAATTTCAGAGAACGAGTTGTTTTTCGTCTGATACCGATCCCCCTCCCCCCAACCCTCCCTTTCCCCCCCGATCTCTCGCTACTCTACCAGCTCAGCCCCCCCTTCTATGCCCTCGCTCCTCTTCCAGGCCTAGTCCTGTCCAACCCTTCTCCCCCTTTCCCCAACCTGAGGTCTCTCCAGGTCTCGCTCCCAGCCTAGCCCGCTTTCATGCCCCTCCTAATGTCTCGCAGCCCAGCCCCCCCTTCCCTTCGCGTCCCTCCACCTCCACCCACCCTGATCCCTCGCGTCGCAGCCCCTCATTGTCATGTGCGTGCCCCTCAATAGCCACACAGCTGTCTGTCAGCTAGCGAGCTGTCAACACCGCGCCAGGGGCGCGTTCATTAACAAAACAAGCGTGATTATGTTAGACAAGTGTGTTAGCTAAATCAGACTGTGCAAATTGAATCGTATGAAGAATCAAACTAAGCTTTAACATTCGTCCAAAAAATCAGACCAAAAAAATATGCTCGTCTGAACGTCAGACGGAACGGTTTTTTTACTTAGGTATGTCAGACAGGCCCAAATCCTAGCAAGAGCCCTGCTTCAGGGTAAAAACAAATATTTTAGACGGGCATCAGGGTACCTACATTTGAAACGTCAGCCCTGGGTCGGGTGCAGGTTCGGAGTTGGAAAACCCGAAGGCGACGTGAAGGAACGTTCGGAAGGCGAGGTCATCCGACCGAGTCTGGAACACCAAAAGTTTAAGTTGTACGCGTATGGAGTGCTCGAGTAAGGAATTAGGCAAAATTCATTGTAGTATACATTTGTGCTTATATGTGTAATTTATATTGACTATGTTTATATTTCTTTCATAAAAAATTATTTGTTATATCTAGCCATGTGTATGCCCTCCATAGCTCAGTATTTTACTATTTTAAAATGGTACCAGAGCAAAGTTAACACCATCGTTTCTGCCCCGCCTACGCTTAGCTTTTCCTAATGCTCATACGCCCCCCGTTAGAGCTACCCCTTAGCTATGAAGACGGTCCGCACCTACCAAGTTCCTAGATAAGAAGGGGATGTGCAAACCTATGAAGAAGCCAAAGGGGACTGCGGGCACGCGAGTACAGTAGCCCTGCATGCAATGACTAGTCCAAAGGAAGGGTCTGCCAAGGAGACTGTGATATAAACTGGATGTGCTGAGCGTATGGTGCTGTATCAGAAGAAACATTCGGACGCACTGTGTCAAACTCATATGCTATAGTCTGTGTAGGCTGTAGTGGGGTAGACAATATGGGGTACAACACTTAAGGGTTTCCTACTTGTACTCCTCATGCTGCTCAATGCACTCATTCCTCGTTCTTACTTTCACATGGTATCAGAGCAGAATCGTTCCTAGGGCCCACCGAACGTTCCGCCCTGCCCTAACTGAATTTTTTTCCTACGCTGCCCTTGCAGCCCGCGTGCTGCCCCTGCGACCGTGCTGCCCTTGCCGAGCCGCGCGTCGCCCCTGCAGCCCGTGGGCGCTGCCCCTGCAGCCCGCGCGCCGCCCTGCCGAGCCGCGCGTCACTCCTGCTCGTCGCGACGCCCCAGCGGGACCCGTGCGGCGTCGCCCCTGCTCGTCGCGGCGCCCCCTGGGCGCCATCCCTATTCGTCGTGGAGCCCCCAGCCGCAGTCGCGGCCCCGCCCTGCAGCAGCTGCCGCGGAGCCCCCTCCCGCCGTCGTGGCCCCGCCCTGCAGCAGCTGCCGCAGAGCCCCCTGCCGCTGTCGCGGCCCCGCCAGGCCACTGTCGCGGCCCCGCCCTGCCGCTGTTGCGGCCCCGCCCTGTAGCCGACGCGGCCCCGCCAGGCCGCTGTCGCAGCCCTGCCCTGCCGCCGACACGGCCCCGCCCTACAGCAGCTGCCGCGGCCCTG